ATATAGAAGAACATTCCAAAAAGAAATCATATAATAGCCCAAAAAGGTTTTCAATTTCTTAATTAAAGTCATATTCAGTTTTATAAATCCAATACAATAAAACTAGATAAAAACAATAAATCCTTAAAATTACATAGATTTACTAAACAATTTAATCCTCAACAATCATAAATCAAGAAAGAAATTAAGAAGAAAATATCAACATACTTTGAAAGAAATTAAAATAGAGATAAAACTTATAAGAAACAGAAAAGCAGTTTTTGCTAAGAATATAGAGTACAGCAATTACTGTTATATCAGGAAATCGGAACTGTAAATAGTCAACTTCAATGAATGACAAAAGCAGCAACAAACCAAACCAAAGATTAGAAGAATAAAAATATGATAAAAAAATCATCGCCCAAATACATGAACTAGTAACTGAAAGATCAAAACAAACGGTCAATGAAATAAAGAGCTTCTGCTTCAAAAAAAATTTTTAATGTATAAATTCTTAGACTAAGAAAAAAGAGAGAATACTGTAAAACAATCAGATTCAAAAACAAAGATATTATACCGATAACACAGAAACGCAAAGGATTATTAAAGAAAACTTTGAATAACTATACACCACAATTGCCACTCTAGAAGAGATGGTTAAATTTCTGGAACATGACCTTATTGAGGCTGAATCATTAAAAAGAGAAAACCTAAACTCATTAAAAAATAATGAGATTGAATTATCAAGACACATTATCCTAGCAAAGAAATACAGCAAATCAGATTCATTACTGAATTCTTTCAAATATATATGGAAGAACTAATGATATATTTTGCTTAATTATCCCAAATAATTAAAGTGGAAGGAAACCTACAAAACATGGTCTTGAAGGCCAACATCACTCTGATAAGAACAAAAACAGATAAAAACACAATTAAAAATCAATATTAGGGCCCGCCAGATAACTCAGGGAACGGATAAGATCGCAGGTGTGCCATGCCAGGCCTGCCACCAGAACACGCTCTGGACAGAGATTGAGAGTGGGTGTGGTGGTGCACCTCTGTAATCCTAGTGCTTGGGAGGCTGAAAACAGGAGGATCACTACAAGTCCGATCCATGTAGTGAGACCCTGTAGACCATGTATTAAATACATTTAAAAAATCAATTGCAAAAAAAATCCCTGATAATCATATATATAAAAATCTTCAATAAAATGCCAACAAAATAATAAATAAATAAATAAATAAAATGCCAACAAAACAAATTAAATAATATATACGAGCTTATTCGTCATTTTCTTTTTTTTAATGTAAGAAGATCTGACTCATAGTGATCATCCTATTTTTCAGCTTCCCAAACACTGGGATTACAGATAGGAGCCACCACATCCAGTGTCAATTGAAGTCTCAGTGCATCCTGGAGGTAGGGCTGGCACAGCAGGCTTGGGGGAATCGAACCCCCAACCCCTGCTTCAGCCTAAGCAGGCACTTTAATCTGCTGAGCTATGTGGCTGGCCCTTGTTCATAATTTTCAATTTCAGTTTATCACAGTTCAACATATGAAAATAAATAAAATTTGGTAACTCTTCATGATTAAAAAAAAACTATTCATAAATAAGGGATAACTCACAATGGTAAGGGCATACATAAATGTCAATAGCTAATGTACCAAATGTGAAAAGGCTGAGGCTTTTGGTCTGGCATCTAGAACAAGAAAAGGATGACCAGCTTTACATTCACTCACATTTTAAGGAAGTTCTACTCAGAGAAACAATGGAAGATTTAAAAACACAAATTGTGAAGAAGGATGTCAATATCACTTTTTGTACATGATATGGTCTTGTACACAGGAAATTCCAAAGATGCCATCAAAACATACATTTCAGAAATATTAAAGAAATACATGTATATTGTAGTATAACAAATTCAAAAAAGACAATAATGTTTATGTACTGCAATAAAAATTTACCTGAATGACAAGTTATGGAAATAATTTAATTTCCAGGACATAGAAAAATAAAATATGTATGAATAAATTACCCAAAGACCTAAAAGATCTTTACAATGAAAACTAAAAGATTGCTGCCATAGATTGACTAGGAGACATATAAATGGAAGCCTATCTTGTGCTTATGGATGGGAAGAGATGATATTGTTAAAATCCCAAATTCACCCAAAACAATTTATGGCAATAAAAGCATGGTGATATCATTAAAAACAGAGACCAGTGGAACAGAATACACCCCAGAAGTTAACCCAGACAGCTATAGTCTGTTGACCTTCAGCAAAGGTGCTAGGAACATAGGCTCAAAGAAAAAAATATCCAATAAAGTATGACATAGAAATTGGATATCCCCACCCAGAAAAAATATAGTAGACTCCTATTTCTCACCAAAAAGTCCAGCTCAAATGAGATTAAAGACTCATAAGCCAGACATGAAAGCATTAATTTGCTCAAATAAAACACTGAGAAAATTCTTCAGAACTTTGGTCACTGATTTTTGAGCAAGATGCAAATGCACAGGAAAAAAGCAAAAATAGACAAGCTGGATTACAACAAACTAAAAATCTTATGCACTACAAAGGAAAGACTCAAATGTAGTAAAAAGACAACCCACACAATGGGAAAAATTGTTTCCAAATATGTATCCAACAAGAAGTTAATATTCAGCATTTACAAAAGTATGTATTTTTCAAACATTTCATTTACAAATACTGAGTAAGCCCTAATAGATGTTTCTGAAAAGGAAAACATGCCCAACTTACCAACAGATACATAGACACCACCATTATTCACCATCAGGGAGGTGCAAATCAAAATCATCATTAGCTATCAGTTCCCCTCAGAATAGCTGTCATTAAAATGATCTCTTAGCAAGTTTTTATTAAGACATGAACAAAAAAGAAATGCTGCACGGGACGTGCACGCACTTGGTGTGAAAGTAACTGAGAGCAATCACTGGGGAAAAGAGTAGCAGATAGGAGGGACTGGAGAGTCAACTGGACAGCCAAAAATTTCACTAGCAGGCCTACATCCAAAGGAAGTAAAGTCAGTTAATCGGTAAGACACTATACTCCTGTGGATATGTGACACTGTCAACAGCCATGACAGAAAGTCAACCTACTTGTCTGTCACATGACTAATAGGTAAAGAAAATCTGGCAATGCACACAATGGAAAACTATTCAGCCATAAAACGTAAACTGCTTTCATTTGGCACAACATGAATAAAGCTACAAATGGTTGTCTTCAGTGAAACAAGCAGAGGGCAGGAAGATGAGTCCTATGTAGTCTCACTCCTATATGAATATATAAATGTTGATTTCATAAAAATGGAGAGTAGAGTAAGGCTATCAAGAATCAGGGAAGGAGAAATGGAGATAGGTCAGCCAGTGGATAGTAAGTCACAGAAAGGAGAAATTCTAGCCTGCTGTTCCACAGTAAGCTGACTGCAGATAATATACTGGATTTTAATTAGCTGCAAGAAAGAAGATGGAATGCCTTTGCCGCAAAGAAATAGTCAGTATTTGAGAAGATGGGCATGCCCACCATGATTTGAATAGTACATGATAAATACATGAATTAAATTATTACAAAATATTTCTTAAATATATTCAATGTATGACCCTAACAGTGTGTGAATGTGCACACTTGTGAGTGTGTGTGTGTGTGTGTGTGTGTGTTCTCATGTGTGTGTAAATGCACACGGGAAAGGGGAAGGATATGCAGAGGGGGAGGTGGGAGAGGAGGGTGGGGGAAGCAGTGGGGAAGGGAAGAGATGGGGGAGTG